GACCAAATAAAATCGCAATAATCATTTCAATTTTTCAACCGATCAACGAAAATGGAAAGCAAAGACCAATCTCTCATTCTTATCTTTTAATTGGAAACACCATAATTAGAAAGCGACACTTTTCATTATTTTGCAATATCCCACGAAAAAAGGGTAAAGCTTTTTTCTAATCTAAAAGTTGTGTCGGAAAATCAGATACTCTTTACAATGAAATTTTCTCTTCCACCATGTGCCATTTCAACACTAATGGAACATTAATAAAATAGTGATTAGAAACGATACACAAAATCTATATTCACGTGACTCTTCGTTTGACTAACAGTCAAACTCATAGGAACCTGAATCGATACTAATCTCATCATTAAGACACTAACTAATGGAGTACTACAGGACCACAAACATAATCACTAACCTTTTAGTAATTACCACAAAACATTAAGACAAGAGAGACTAAAAACAAACAAAAAAAACAGAGCAATAAATGAACTTACCTAAAGACCAGTACGGCATTGGAGCAGGCCTTCCGATTAACTGAGTATACTGATCAACAACATTTAACGGCGAAGGTCCGGCGATGAAATAGAAGTCAAAAACACCTCCGATAACTTTATACGTCAACGAATCACCTCTATAGAAAACATCCATACCATTACTATTAAGCAACAACACAGCATGAGCATAAGCTTTACCTCCAACGTTTCTTAGATCCATATACATCGGATGCGAACCATAAAGATCAGTGTTAAGATTAATGGCTGAAACATCTTCAGTGTAAAGAGTATAAGGCTCGTTAGGTACGAGTTTGATACCATTAGCTTGTGAGTTTTCACCTAAACCATAGAGTGATGCTTCTTTTGGTAATGAAGTTGAGATCTCTAGGTATTGATCTTTGAAGACTAATGAGCTTGAGGTGTTGAAGAGTGTTTCGTGGTTAGATCTACGTTTCACGGCGAAAGTGAATGGATCTGTTGTGTAACTGAAGATTAGTTCGGATCCGGAGATTTCTTGAACTGTGATTGGAGATTTTCTTGATTTCCCGATGACTTTTCCGACTTGTGGTGGTTGTTCTCGTGGGAGGAGATTGTATGGAACTTCCCATCGTTGTTGTTTCGCGTCTGTGATGTGAACACGAAGACGTGAATCTGTTTCGTGCCTGTGAAAAAGAAAACAAATCCAACGGTTAGAAATCAAGAAGAGTTTGGTAAGTAATGTAGGGTGCGTAACAGAGGATTGGTTTTACTTGACGAAGAGACGAAGAGTGGTGATATCAGAGCCGTAGATTTTGTTCTTTTGTTTGACTTGGAGATAACCAATGAAGCCACCATCTGGAGATTCTTCGATGGAGATCAAACGGTAGCCTTTGCCGATGGTTTTGGAGGATTGGGTGGGTGTGAAACAGAGGATTAAAGCTAGAAGAAGAGAAAGAGAGAAAGCTAGAGATGAAGAACAAGAAGAAGCCATGGCTATAGAGTGAAACTTTTAACACTCTACAGTCTCATGAAGGAGAGAGAGAGAGGGAGGGGTTTAAAGAACAGAACCCCTCTTTAGCTTATGGTTCTTGATAAGTTTTGTGGAACACTAAACGAGGATATAAATAGTAGGAAATGATTTTGCGGTTCTTTCTACCATAACCGATATTTTTTTATCTAACTGTATGAACCGGTTATGATAAAATTGCTTAGTCATTAGAGTTTTATAGGATCTAAATGGTCATGAATCTGGCCAAATTTGGCTAAATTGCTAAATTTGATAAATTTTTAGTAATTTTTTAATTTAATTTAGTTAAATTTTTATATTTCCGAATAGTAACCGCTGAATTTAGCTGGATTTTTATTGTGATGTGTGGAAAAAAATTTCAAAAGAGTTAACGTATTGTTTGAAAGTGACTGAAAGAGTTTTTTTTTGCTTCTTTAAAATTATATAGATATATATATATCTATATAACTTTAGTCTTTTAACATCTGTATATAACTTTAAAATTTATAATTTTAAATAGGAATTTCATCCATATATACTTCCTATTAATTGAGTTAAAACAAAATGGTTCCTTGTGTAAAAACAGATAAATTTATTTGGGGTTTGTGTCCAATAGTGAGATACATAAACAATAGATATAGATTTATAAAACAAATACATATATTTCTCTCCAGTAATGTTATTTAGAATTAAATTGTCAATCAGTTTTTATTTGAGAATTATGTGTATATCTCTTTGAAACATTGCAGACACTAATTTCTTTCGTCATCAATATTTGCCATTCATCAGTAAACTATTAAATATTGTTGTTGTATACAAGAGTAAATTTTTTTTCTTTTTTATGGGCAGCAAAATAAAAAAATTGAATACAATATCTTGAAAATTTATGCTCACATGGACCAGATATCTTTGATATTACGTTGTTTGAGAATTAATGCTGGTGACCAATAAAGCAATAAACTTATTAAAGAGATTGAATTATGTAAAAAAAAAAAAAAAAAAGGATTGATCTAATCAAACAAAGAAAATCAAAGGAGGGGTGATATGTTTCAACGTGGCTCCATACATCTCGGTCTCTAAATTGAAGCGTGATTCTCGCTTCCTAAACTAATTTCCTCTCTGCTCAATTTCCACGTTAATTAAGCCCTTACACAAATTTAGTTTCTTTTTTTCACTACTCTTACAATTTCATTTGTTTTAAATAATTATATTTTAATTTTTCAAATGGATTTAGACCATTGTCTCTTGTTGAAAAATGAAAATACACGGTAACAAAAAAGACCATATCCAAATAAGAGGATCAGCATTAATTTTTTTTAAAATGAACGGTATAACAGAAACACAAAATCTACACTACCAAACGTCCAAACTCAACACTACTCCATTGAAGCAAATAATATGACCTCGACCTCGACCTCGACCTCTTGACTGGAGTTAGCGGTTCCCCCGAAGCTCAAAACTTTTTAATTGGAATAGGTCAGATCAGCGACATTTGTAACCTTATCTCTTGATTCCCATACCTAACAAGAAGAGAGAATTCGAATCCAACCATCCACTTCGACTTTATATCATATAAGGGAATTCGAACTCGAATCGAACCTCTACTCTATAAAATATACCGCATGGTGTTTTTTTACTAATTATATATTGATCCACAAAATATATATTTATATATATATATATATATATTGATCAGAACTGCTTGTTACGCAGAATGCGTTTTTCAACCGTACCGTAGTAAAACTGCATTGCATTTTTATAACAGTTTATCTCGTACTATCCAAAGTGTTGTCAGTTGTCTCTATTCGAAACCTTATTACTTCCAAAATATGTAACTAGTTTATATTCTTAGTAGCATCATTTTCTAATTCAGTGTAGTTTAACAGTTTAAGTCGAAATTACATAGGTTCCGTTTGTTGTATACTGAGAAGGTTTTTTTTTTTTTTTTTTTTTAACGGTATACTGAGATCGTTTAGTTCAGGGGCGGACCCATTCAGGGGAAAGGAGGTCAAGTGACCTGGGTAAAATAATTATACTTGTCTTGTGTATTAGAGTTTTTAAAAAGCAAGCAGCAGTTTTGGTAATTTTATGCTTATTGACACCCCATTACCAATGTTAGATTCCCCGATTTGACATTTTTTTATAAATTTTTCTCATTTCTTTTGTTTTATATAGGTTTTTGTTGGTCGAAAAGTAGTGAAAACCACAATATTTTTTCCAAATTCATTGTATTTGAATAATATTATTATGCGATATACTAAATAATATAGTTTCATATTTAAATGACCCGGATAAATATTTTTTCTGGGTCCGCCATTGGTTTAGTTCATCATATTTGTGTATTAACTGATACTTGTAACTTTGTTTACAATAATGTTATTATTTCACCGCGCCGTATCAATTACAAGAAAATGTTTGTCCACGCATGAACTATTTACTCCGTTACAATGAAACTGTTTTAAACAAAATACAACGAGATGCAAAATCTGAGTTTGGAGTTTTGGATTTTGGACACCCGACAAGTGTAATTAAGGTAGTGGAAGAAAAAATATTAAAAATGAAGAAGATTCCAAGATCGATATTCATACATGCATGTAGCGTCTCGATTCAGGAGTTGCACATTGTCTACAAGTACTATCATCACATTATTTTGTTTCACTATACAAATAATATAAAGGGATATAAGAAATTAATCGCTGTATTGATGTGAAGGATTCACGAGATCCAAATTTGAATATTTCAGATGCATCCATCACCTGGCTTCTTTTTGGTCTGAACATTGAACTCTAAATATAAATATTATAGCAGACAGAAACATTACCCAAATATTAACGATAAGAACAATTTTGTATTTGTTTTTGTTGGACAAAAATGATAAGAACAAACTAAAATATCATTTTCATACAGAGAAAATATATTCTCAACTAAAATGAATTTAGTTTGTTGATCCGATTGGTTATTCAAAACGGTACAGTAAATGATACATAAATAGTAAAAAAAAAAGTAAGATGTAACAGTACAAAATAGTGGTAAGAATAATTTTTTGTATTGTTTTTATACCGATTTTGTAATTAATTAGGATGAAAATGGTACATCCCGTACCGTACGCTATGATAAAAGATAACCAATCAAAACCTGTATTTTTAGACTCAAAGACCATTGGGATTTTAAATCAGTATTTTGATGTGAGTTCACACTCAAAACTCTCTTAAAACATTTCCATTGGTTAAGATACTTAAGACTTAAGAGTATCTTATTAGCAATAAAATAACAATATTTTCTAATAAATTTTAGTTATCTAATTAAATTTAAATTTATTTGAAAATTAAACTAATAAAGGAAAAAAAGAATATTATTGGCTTTTTGCTGTAATATCTAAATATCAAAGCAAAACTCTTTATTATTCGAGCTAATTAAGTGACATTTTAACAATTTTATTTGTTGTAAATGATAATTTTAGTACTGAGGAATAGTTGTTGTAAATGATAATTGCAACAATTCTACGTCTGATGAACGAAAACACCTGGACCAACTCGATTATTTCATGTAAATAACGATTTTATAACATCAATAATTTTGTTTTGGATTGCTCCTATCATAATACAACTTTGTTGGAATAAACACTGCCACTAGATAAATAAAAATCTTTTGTAAATTATTTAAATTAACTAATCTTATAATTTGCATTTCATTCTATCGGATTAACCTTTTGGTTTGTGTCGGCATCATCTTCTTTACTCTCTTATTAAATCTCCACCTGCACGACGATATTGTATATATTTACTACGGTTTTTATTGTTTTCAACTAAAAAGCAAAACCGTATGAAATATAAAATGAAAAGAAGTTGAGATAGACAAGAAACGGATTTATGGAGGAAAAGCATAACTGTGGTTCTCGAGGAATGGCCTCACCAGTCTCTGCCTCGCCTCTTTCTCGATTAAAATAAGACAAATCTCTATTCCAGATCCTCGATCACTACTATCATTTCGTTTTTTCTGGATAGAATCATATACTGTCACAGTATAACAATTTATTCCATTACTAATATCTACTTAAATGTTTTACATTACAAAGATTTCTAGACATTACTTAGAAAAAAATATGTTAATTCAGTAAAGTAGGGGATTATTGTCTAAAATGCCCTTTTAAAAAAAAAAAACTTATGAAAATGCCTTTTTTGAATAGTTTACGGATTTTGCCATTTTTTAACACTTAAAAATATACGTATTTATGATTTTTTTTTGCAAAAATACGTACATTATACCAAATACTAAACCTTAAGAACAAATGGAACCGACTAAACCCAAACATAACGAATGAAACGCATGTTAAATCATATTTTTGGAACCTAAAAAAGGACAAAATCCACAAACTATTAAAAAAGGGCAAAATCCATAAATGCCATTATAAAAAAGGGCAAAATCCGTAATTAATTCAGTAAAGTAGGTAGTGAGAAATTATCAAGCCATTTATAAAAGGGTTATGAGTTGTGACCAATCTACTTACATTACTTATTTGTCAATTAGTTTTGAGTCGAAAACTCATAATACACTTAAATTTAATAAAATCAAATACAAAGATTCTTTTTAAATACTTAATAGCAAAAAAATTCAAATATATTACATAACAAAATTTTAATATAATTTATTTGACTATAAAACATTTGTATAAATTAAATTTTACGTGGCACCAAAATGTGATTATTTTTATCCAAACACCATATAAAGCTACAAACTCATATATTATCAAATGATTTACAAAAAATAACATTTACAGATGGATAGAATAAATTAGTATCAAATTTTTTCAATTTGTTTAAAGAGTTTCACTGAATTTTAAATACGTTTTTAAATTAAGAATCAAGACTTCAAATAACTCAAATTACGTATGAAAGTTACAAATATAGGTTTTCTTATGTAATATTCGAATTCGAATTCAGATGATGAAATGACACTAACATAAACTAATAGATTACTTGTCTAGTTGTCTTGGTCTAAATATAAATTTTATTCCATAATCCAAAGAGACACAACATGGGTGATCTCTCTTTGTTTCTTACACATACAGCCGTTAAATCAGAAGATATTTTTTTGTGCGTCTGACAAATTTTCGAAAAGGAGTTTGTGTGTGTGTGATGATGTAATAAAGGAAGCTAGAGAAGAAAGGGTGGGCCAATAGGCGTGAAGAAAGCGGGCCTTAAACACGTGGGTACGTTCAGGCCCACATCACGTGTACTCTCATGCCATTGCCAATCTCTTCTCCACTCTCGTGACTTCCCTCTGCCTCTTCAACTTTTATAAATTCCATCATGATTGGGCCGTTTTTTTCGTGAAGAAAGATAAAATATTACAACAGTATTTAATTTATGTTTTGTTTAATGTTTGATAAGTTCTCAATTTATTTGATACTCACTCCGTTTAGAGTTAAAATTTTGTTTCATAATAGTTGTCGTTTTAGATTTTCAATGCAAATGTTTGGTGAAAATTCCAGTTTTATCTCTACTGTTTTAATGTTTCGGCCAATGAATTTTTTTATAAAATATATTAATAAAGGATAAAACAGAAAATTTAATGCTTTTATTAATTTGTGTGTAAAAATCTTAAACGACAACTAAAACGAAACGGAGGGAGTACAAATAACAATCAGATTTGTATATAAAAAAGATATAGTTAAATAGAGGGTTGCGGTTAAATATATTATCAGTTGACAAATAAAAAGAGGGTTGCTGTTAAAAATGAAAAAAATAGAGGGCCGAAACAAAAAAGTAAAGGGCCCAAATGTAAACCAAAACAAGAAAATAGAGGGCCCAAATGAAAACCAAAACAAGAAAATAGAGGGCCCAAAGTTGAAAAACAGAGACGTCTATTTATGATCGTTTTTGTTTATAGTGCGGTAGAGACAAGAACAGGCCCCAAATTGTTAAGCAGAAACAATACAAGAGAGTCCAAACTGTAAGAGCATGATTATTGGTGCATCTAAAGTTAGGAATCCAAACCATATTTATATTGTAAATAATGCAAAATTTAAAATTTAGACACTTGTAGAATTTTTTAGTTTTAACATTGTCCAATGTCCAATGGTGGATCCATTATTGAGGATCTAAAAATACAAAAATTTTGAAAAAATGTGTAAAAGTGTTTGGCATACATTGACTCTCAAAACTTGACACACACTCTATAATCTTAAAACTCACACATTCACAAAACTTGACACACAAACTCAAGTGAATCTTCACAAGACCATGGCCTATAATGCAAGAACCACAATTTATCATCAACTGCTACCTTTAAAATGAAACAAGAACCACAAGCTGACGGTATCTCTCTCGTTGAAGCCTCTGGCAAAAAACCTTGCAAGAATCACCGAGAGAGTAGTGTGTGGTGCAGGAAGCTGTTGTTCTGCAATCTCCCTGAAAGCTGCTGCACTATCCTTCCTTCCAGTTTCTAGAGGATAAAATGGAGCACCAGCCTGATAGTTTCAAAGACATGATTAAGCGTTGCAGTCTGCAACAAACCACAAGAGCCCTGCAATTAAGAGAAAGTTATGCCATTACACATACAATCAAAGCTAAGTAATACTACATTAACCATTCAACCATCATGAAAAATAATGACTCGAAATAAATAAGTAAGCTGAGTATACTTGGTCATACAATCAGAGATGGCATACAACAAAAGACAAGACACATCACTTAAATAAGATAGAACGATAATCAAAGCTCTATAAGAAACGTAGCCAAGGACTCACTAAACCACTATAACATGAAAGTAAAAATTCAAACTTTAATCAGTTCACAAATAACATAAGCATTACTTGATCACAAACATTCCATTACACTAACTTCTGAAAAAAAAAACTGATTCAGGAAACAAAAGAAAACATTCAAGCTTATGACAACATGTCAGTGACAAGCTTGTCCTTCAAAGCCATATCTATTTCACTAAGTGGCTCTGTTTTTCCAAGGAGATTCTCCAACATTTTGATCTTGCTCTGCTTCTTCTTCAGTTCATAGTCCTCTTTCTTCAGTTCATGGTCCTGTTTCCTAATCTCCCAAATGCTCTGAATCCTTAACAGAGCATCTGGTCCTTCTTCAACGCCTTTGTTAGACTTTTTAGCTTTGACCTTTGCCGCCTTAACACCTGGTGGACGAGCCATGGCTTCATCTCCATGGCTAGCTGCTTGTGAGCTTGATGAGTGACTAGCAGCTTCAGCTCTATCCCCTACCTTTCTTCTTTTTGACTTGTCACTCTCTGCAGGTGAAGAAGCAGCACACCACTTCTGATCATGGCGAAGCTCTCTCCAACAATGGTCAAGTGTGAACTTGACCCCATAATCCTTTGAGTAGATTTGGTGAGCAAGCTTCATTACATCATTTTCATTTTGTCCGCTTGACTTCTGACTTGTTGCAGCTGCTAAGGAACCAACAAACTTGCAGACCTGATCATTGATCTTCCTCCACCTTTGCTTGCAATGGTCAGGCTCTCTCTTTGGCATCCCAACAAGCGCAGGAGAAGCAGCAAAGTAGGTTGCTATTCTTGACCAGAAGGTCATCTTCCTTTGCTCATTGGCCACCACATGTCTTTGCTTGTGTTCAACCAGGCTGATATGAGCACAACATCTTCCTTTGCTGACCAATTGTTACGTTTTCCTTTTTTTCCCTCAGGTGTGACTTCAGCATGAATGCTCTCTGACCATTGATCATTTTGGATAGGGACTTGGCTTGCTTCATTCTCAGTCCATGGTTGACTATTGAGCAGGTCCAAGAACCCAGAAGATTGAGTAAATGGATTGGAAGAATCCATTACACCACTTCTGGCTGAGATGAAGAAAGAAAGAAAGAAAGATAGCAAAAACAAAGAAAGAAGAGGACAGAAAGAATAAAGAAAGAAGAAAGACTGAAGAAAGAGACTGAAAGAATAAAGAAATCTTGGTGGTTGTTTATATTGATCAGTCGAACAACTTGATCACACAACTAACAAGCATTTATCACTTGAGAGTAAACAACTAACTAGCATTGATCACAATGTAACAAGCATTGATCACACACAAAGCATTAATAAAACATGATGTAGACAGTTACTAAACAACTTACTAAACAACTAACAAGCATTTATCACAACTAACAAGCATTTACTTAATTAAGTCTTTTACTTATTAACGCAGGAAAAGTAATGGAGTTTGTTAACAGAGAATGATCCTTAAAACACCTAGCCAACAATGCTTACTTCAGAATCTTCATTCATTAAGAGAAAGCTGAAAAACACTTAACAAAGACATACCACATTCATAGCGGAAACAGGGAGCCAGCCTCCATGCTGCTGTTGTGCAAGATCTAGAAGAGGAATAACTGCAGACTGCTTGTAATTGGATGGATAGCAAGAGAGTATCTCCTTAACCTACACAAGTTGGACAAAATATTAGAATGTCCAGACATGAAAGATACAATAAAATGAAACCAAATGCACAAAAATGTATTAGTCACAAAATAGCCAGATCAAGAGGCATGGACTATGTTAGTTGGGATCAGACAAAACATTCCAGCTCCAAAACATTTCAACATTATCACAGAAAAAAAAAATGTTCAATCTATAAATCAAACAATCTATACCTAAAATCGTGTTCAATCATGGCTAATCTCGCTATCCCTAAGCACAATCATGACCTATTCGTCTTCAAATAACCCTAATTTGACTAAGAAACCAAGAACCCTAATTTACCTAAAATCACAGAACCCTAATTTGTTACCTAATCAAATTCACAAGAATTTATAGCAAGAGAAAGACGTTCGTACCATGAGAAAGAGTTGATGAAGGTTTCACGCCGATTTGGTGAAGGAAAGTCACGAATTGCTTCAGGAAAAATCGCGGATAGCTTCAGGGAAAGTCGTGGATTGCTTCAGGGAGTGTCCCACGTCGGTGGAGATGATGATCAGGATAGATCAAGTAGTCGGAGATAACGATTTCTCCTCCGTTTGCTTTCGATTTCAGAGAATCTTGACGATTTTCGCAGGCGGCGTTTTGCGAGAAAGAGAGAGATAGAGGAGAAAGAATCGCAAATGAAAAACACGGGAAAATTTTTTTTGGTCTGTAATAGATATGTCCCGACCAACCACATTGCGACACGTCGCAGATCCAAAGCTGTGCAACAAATCCAAAAATAGAGCCGGATCCATTGTTTTTAATCGTTTTGGATTAAATTTTTGGACCCATTGGACCTTGGACTTCTGCTTGGATCCCCCGATAATGATGCTCTAATGTATACAAAGAAGAGGATCCAAATATGGTTCTTAGGCTAAAGGTTTAATTGTTTTCTTTAATACGAGTTAACTTAATGCAGGTGTTTGTAGTTTGCAAGATTGACGAGGATGACCTAGCTAATTGGCTAATTGTGAATTCATTTCTGTTTATAGGTCACGTACACTGTTTTAATCAGCTTATATGTACACTAAAACCTTTATAGAGAACCTACACAATTAAAAATAAATTCTAATAAACAAATTGACAAGCAATTTTTACAGAATTTTCAATATCTTAATATAGTTTTGTTCAAATTTTTTATTTCAGTGTTACTTCTTTTTTTGGGGTCATATTTTTAGTGTTATTTTAGTTTCTAACTTTCAAAAAAGAATCCTAAAATATAAGTCGTTTTTTTGGTAAAAAATATAAGTCGTTTTACTATCTACATTGTGTATTTGTTTTAAAATTACACCATAGATACGGTCGTGCAAATCGCATGTTCTTCATATTACCATAAGTACATTGTACAAACACATATACGAAGTTTATACTTTTAAATGCAATCCGTATTTTATAACCTCTTTCATGTATTTTGGATATGCTATCAAAGGTTTTGCGAATTGTTACGTCGCATAATAATTTTGTAACTGGTGCGATTTATCCTATAGTTTTATGAGGCTTAAAAAGGTCTCATATCTTTTGGGATAACATGGGAGTAGAAGACACATCACATCATCTTCATATCATACACAGAAAAAAAATGGTAAATAAGATTCGTTGATTTCCAAAACGACGAAACGCTTTAATATGTCATTGTTTTTAGGCGTGCACTATGTTCTATGTCGATTTGAAATGGACCGTCAAGAAGAAATACAAATTCACTTTAGAAACTACAATTTTGAGTGGAATGGACAAATCTTTAGGATAATGACATTAACCAATCTTTAAACACCAAAAATCGCAATAATCATAATGATGGGACACGTTGTGTTTTGGTATCGCACTGGTTACGTATTTTCTCCACTTTTTCTCTCCCTTTAAATTTTTTATTTTTTCTGCTTCAAATGATTTAGGTATCAATTCATATCAGATACCAGTCCACGGTAGCCAATCTTTATTGAATTTCCCGTTTGAGTTGCAATTATTGTCGAAACATTTATTGTTGGTAAGATTTCATACAGCATAAAAAAAGCTAATAATTTGTTTGATAAAGCGTTTTTTAGTTATGTTGATTTCATTTCATATTTGGCATTGTAAACACAAAATTTGAAAGTATTTAGAAATACAACGTTACAAAACTTTCGAACTTTTAAAAACAATTTTACATCGCCCAGTGAGTTCCATATTTGGCTAGAAATTGTATAATATGTAATGTGATTTGTCTTTCGCAAAGATGATTAAGTATCAAATTGAGTACAAACCTATATATATATATATATATATATATATATCACAATTTATCTTGATATGGGTCGACAAAGCGAAATGATCTAAAATATTTATTTATTGAAAATAATTATTTTAGAGAAATTTTAAGAAAATATTCTAAATTTTATAAATTTGAAAATACATTTAGTTTTATAGAAATTTAAAATAGGATTTTAAAATGTGAATGTTTCGTTGAAAAATGTAACTATACCAAAATAGTTTTATTTAATATTCAACTAATTATTATTTAAAAAATTTAAAACACTTATTTTATTCTAATTTAACTAAGAAAAATTATATGGATCTCGTACATATTTTGAATTAATTAAAAATAATTTATATCTTAAATTAATTCTAATTTCAAATCTTGATTAAAACAAAAAGAAAAGTCAAAAAGTTAGTTTATTTAAATCTTCATAAACGTTTCTTTCTCCATATAGAAAAGATTAATCGAAACAACAAGGTAGGTATTATGTTATGTATTTGGAGTTCTATTTACTTTGAAACCAACAACTTTTTCTAATATCTATGATCACTAACTCACTCTCTTCCTTAATATTTTTGATTATAATTTAGGATTTATACTTAGTGCATGCATCATCATATAAAAGTTGTAGGAGGGTTCAACTTATATAACAAGATGTTTATGTTTCAAATTTTTATTTTTATGATTCAATATATATGCTTGAGTTCCTATTATTATTACTTTGCTTTATGCATATTCCGTCTCCTATCTTTTCTCAATTTGGTATGGATGATATAACACTATTGAATATATTATTATATGGAACTCAAATTCGTTTCACTTTGAGAACAAAAAACAAAAACAAACAAACAAAAAATGGGAGAAAGATAGGCTTGCCGAATTTGAGATGGGAACAAACGCTGATCATACGTGTGTGGAGGCAAAGAGAGCCAGCTATTATATGTTTATCAGATTTAGAAAGAGGCAATCTCATGTGATCTTTACCAATTCTTCTTCTTCTTCCCTTCCTTTCATTTTTTTTGGTTGATCGTAAATATGTAACTTTTAGCATATAACAGTGGTTAGTTCGTTACTTCATTTCTATTATAATTCAGGTGTGATGAAAACCCCTACAAAAGAGTTTAATATAACTTATAAGCTATAGCCTATATAGACGACAACACTAAGGTTTATGGATTAGTATCTTATTCTTGACAAAATTAAAGATATTAAAATCTTGCAAAAATCAATATGATTATGTATTTAGAGGTAACTATCAGGAAATAATGATAAAGCATACGAAAAAACTTTTAAGGCCATCATATATTTTAATGTACTGACCAATCATGGGAAGAAAATGAAACCCACAGATACATGGATTATTCTAAATTTATATTAGTTGATAAATGCATATTTATGTATTAAAGAATTTGTCCATGATAAGGATATATCCGCATTATAACTTATTATGTAGATGTTGTGATATGCATCTCAAAAGTTCAGTTTGTGATATTGTTGAATATACTTCAAACCTGAGTCTCTCTGACAATATACACGATAACATTTGAAAATTGAAACCATAATCGTTAATTTGCTTTCACTCCAGATGTCCTAAAACCAGTTGAACTTTAAGTGCAATATGGACGAAATTTAATGTGATACATAGAACATGCATTTATTTGTATATGATCGCAAGTTGCAACAGTTGAATTTTAGTAAACATATGCGAATCTTGTGTAATTGACGTAGAGTGGACGATTTGGTCAAATTCTTTAAAAAGTCTCGTGTACCATCTATAGAAACATTCACAAGTTTAAGAAACGTTTAAAGTTCTGTCTTCTGTTTGATTAAAAAAAAAAAAATTGTCTTCTGCTTAATTTAAAAATATGAAAATTATAAGTGTTTAATTTAATTTTATGCGATTGTATTTGTGTATGTAACATTGTTTAATGATTAGACTTATTATATTATCAACATGCATTACATTTCTTTTTTGGGTTTCCCATAAAACGTGAAGAAATGCATGCTCATATACAAATCCATTAGAAGAAAAAAAACATTTCATTATTTGTAATCGTTTCTAGATGAAAGAGACATTACCTCCAGAAAGAAAACATACATTTTTTCTTTCTTTTTTTTTGTTTTTTGGACGTCAGGAAAACAAACCTTTTTCCTCTTTGAATTCGACTACTTTATGATTAACTAACAGTCTAACAGAAATGATAGAGCATCCTGATGTCAGAATGATTATTAGAAAAAAAGTAACAAAATATCGTGAAGGCATTACGACTTAGTTTTATTCACATTATGTTAGTTGATAATATTCATAATTTATAATCATTAACTGAGAGATATTTTTTGGGTAGTAAAAAGAAGAAGAGAAGTCGTATGAAAGTGAAAGTCATTGTGTGGCACTAGAGAGTGGGATTGGTGTGCAAAAAGGGAGATAGAGAGTCCCCACATACATGTGATGTGCATTCGGAGATGATCTGATTCCGCAAGCTCTTTAGTCACTTGCAATCCATTTCTGACGCATGCTAAAATCCTACACGGACTAGCACTCAATTTCAGATTGATATATCTTAGAAACTAGCAAGTATCCAAACTTATTTCTTATTTACGTATAACTACACAAACTCACCATATATTGTTAATAAGTGACAAGAATCAAGTTTAAACCGGTTTGGTTTATACGAATCGGACTAGAACCGACAAGTGAGTTGATTTAGAATTGATTTAGGTTTGGTTCACGATTTTGTTTACGGTTATTGGATTATTGTAGTATAGAGTATGCCTATAAAAGTAGAGCTTAGAGTGATCTTGTGTATGATATGTGTAATCTCGTGTGAGCAATTCTGTAAATGAAAATATAGTGAATTGCTAGTCGAGACGTAGAGATCTCAATCTAGATCCCAACTCGTAAACATCTTACGAGTCTTCTTCTTCGTCGACTTCTCTGTACCATGTTTCCTTTTTTTTTTTCAATCTTTATTTGCGATTGTTCATAAGATAACGAGAGAGTGAGTATGAAAATAAACGATACAAGAAGCTTTTTGGATCGAGTAAGCTGATGCAATAATCAAAACATTTAGTATAAATGTAAGCTATATTTAGTCAAAATGAATCTTCACATCATTTAAATTTTGATGGATTTTTTTTTTCAATTTACATACAGTAAAGATTAAAAAATTACCACACAAAATGAAATGTAGCAGTTTTATGTCATGAACATATGCAAATAATACACAGAGAAACACTTGTCCAAACAAATAATTTATGGATGGTGTTGCACCACAACCACAAAAAATTTGGATTTTATGTTTAACGATATTGATCCGCACAATCTCGTCTTGAAAGCCAATATGATAGAC